TCGGCGGCCCGTGTCCCCTAAGAGTCCTTTGTCCTTCCGGCCTTGGCAGCTCCACCCTGCACCCGCAGCCATTTAGTCCCGAGCGCCTGCCTCCAGCAAATGGTGCCCCCACGCCCATGTCACCTCCCTCTTTTGGTTTTATTACTCGGCGGCCTTAAAATAGCACGGCTGGCGGGCCTAGAGGAGACTGGGGACAAAATGGAGGGAGCTAGTGAACCCGACTGCGGTGGGTGAGGCGCATGGCGTTCCAGAAGAAAGGCGCCTGCAACGTGTGTTACGGATGTTGGGTCGTGTTCCCCGTTACACTCCTCCCCGCAACTGCGACAGGACGTGACATATTGGCGACTTGGGTCGAGAGCGCGTGCACGCCGTGCTGGCCCGCTGTAAGACGCCAGCCAGCTTCCCAGCGGTGGAAAGAAACGCGACGGTTCTTTCTCCGTGTTGAACTGTTTACTCTCCCGCCTAGGGCTCCTTTCTCCGTGTGTCTTTGTGTCTCACGTTCAGGCCGTGGGTATTCATTTCCAGAGGGTACTCCTGGGGGAACCGGGAGGCGGCATTAGTGTCATTGTGCAAAGTCATGCTGCTGCTATTTATGCCGCTGCCTGGCCTGGCACGTACAGCGCCGCGATCTTAGCCCTGATGATTTAAGATGGACTGTCACGAATTGAGCGTTTTCTTATTCGATGTAATGACCTTAACTTCGTGCTCATTGAATCCCTTTTTCCAATCCCTAGTAAAATACTCAATGTATTTATGAGTGCCAGGTTAAAAGTATAAATACATATGTGTGTGCGTGTGTGTGAGTGTATATATGTATGTATGTTTTGGGAAATTGGAGAGTTTCAAATTATAATGCATGCTGCTCTACTATTCCCCCCCCAATCTCCTGGAGAGTTTCAGATTCACTGTTAACATTCTTGTGAAACTGAACTCTTGTTCTGAAAGGTAATATTTAAGGTAGTAATATTCCGTAAAGGAGTCAGGAATTCTTTTGAAGTAGTTGCTAATTGTGTTGTAAAGGAAGGAGAACTGGAAGGACACCAGGTAAAGCACGATTAAGTCATCCTATTTTATTTTTTATTGTGATAGGAGAGTTTCAGATTCACTGTTAACATTCTTGTGAAACTGAACTCTTGTTCTGAAAGGTAATATTTAAGGTAGTAATATTCCGTAAAGGAGTCAGGAATTCTTTTGAAGTAGTTGCTAATTGTGTTGTAAAGGAAGGAGAACTGGAAGGACACCAGGTAAAGCACGATTAAGTCATCCTATTTTATTTTTTATTGTGATATGAAGTGCTAGGGTAGACTTGGAGTCCATTTCATTTGTCTTTGACAAGTATTTTCATACAGAGACATTTTCATATTTCTGTATATTAAAAATTTTAAAAGAATTATTTATTACATTTTATTATGTATTTATTTTTTAAATTTAAGACAGGGTACTTAGACTTGAGAGAGAGACAGAAAGTGAGAAAGCGAGCAGCCAGGTCCAGGACTTAAACTGCAGTTAGGCATGTGGGAGTCCAGTGCCTTAACCACCATGCCACCCCTGGTCCCATATCTTAAAAAACAAAAATCTTTTTTTTGAGAGGTTTTTGCTATAAGGCTTATGCACTGGCCAGAGAGACAGAAAGTGAGAAATCACCCCCCAGGGGGGATGGCTACGCCACAATCTCTTCTCCATCTCCCCTTGGGATCTTGGGCACGCACTCACACGTGGCGTGAGTTTAAGCCACCAGGTCCTGGACTCAAACCACGGTGGACTACGTGGGAATCCAGCGACATAGCCATTATGCCATCTGCTGGTCCTCCATATCTTAAAACTAAAAAAGAAATTTTAGGGACCAGCAGTTAGCGTAATGACTATGTCGCTGGACTCCCACGTAGTTGACCGCGGTTCGTGTCCCGGACCCGATGGCTTAAAACTCACGCTGGGCACGTGTCCGTGCGTGCCTAAGATGCTGAGAGGAGAATGGAGGAGAAGGGATTGCGGCATGGCCATCCCCCCTGGGGGGTGATTTCTTGCTTTCTATCTCTCTGTCTCTCTCTGTCTGGTGAGTGCATGCGCCCTATAGCAAAAACCTCTAAAAAAAAAGGAAAAAAGAAATTTTAAAGAATTATTTACTTATTAATTTATTTTTAATTTGATGAGAGAGAGATACAGAGACAGACAGAAGGTGAGAAAGCAAGCCACCCAGTCTGGACTTGAATCGTGGTTGGCCATGTGGGAGTGTCCAGCACCTTAACCACCACACCGCCCACTGGCACCCCAATTTTTTTAGAGGTTTTTGCTATAGGGCACATGTGCTCACCAGAAAGACAGAGAGAGACAGAGATACAGAAAGCAAGAAATCACCCCCCAAGGGCACTGGCCACGCCACAATCCCTTCTCCTCCATTCTCTCAGGATCTTGGGCATGCATGCACATGTGCCTGGTGTGAGTTTAAGCCACCAGGTCCAGGACTCGAACTGCGGTCGACTACATGGGAGTCCAGCAACATAGTCATTAATGCTAACTGCTGGTCCCCAGTCCCCCAATTTTTTAATTTCTCAAAAAATTGCATCATACTTGCATGGTGTTTAAGTTTTTAGAAAAGTAAAAATCTCTTTTACCCCTTCTTTCTCCCTTATGTAAACACAGCTCAGTTTGATATGTCTCTGTACAACCTGTGTTTTTCTTTTTTTCCTAATTTGAAATATACAAACACATAATTTCATAATAATTAAAGCAGTGCTGGTATATTTGGGATGAAAAGTGCAAATCTCTCTGCCACTTCTGTCCTCATATGTATGTACACATGTCTTTGTGTGAGAGGTGCAAATCCAAATGGCCTATGTCATTTGCATTCAGTAGTTGATTTTTTGCTATTGAGCAATATGTTGGAATATTGTCGATGTAAGTACTTAGAAATTTACACATTCATTTTAATGGTTGCTTAGTAATCTAACCATTTTCCTTCAGAAGACATTTCTATAGAAAGTTTACTTTTTTTTTTGCTGATCAAAAAGCTTCGGTGAGCATCTTTATGCACATGTTCAAGGATTTTTGTAGGACAGATGTCTGGAAGTGGAATAACAGATTCAAAAGGATATATACACTTAAAAATTTTAAACATACTGTTAAATTGTCCTCCAGGAATACTACCAATTGACATTCGCTATCAACAGTGTCTAAGAGAGCCTGTTTCTTCACACCCTTTCAACACTCCATATGATTATACTTTAAAGTTTATGCTGGGAGTTTGATGTGTAAAAAATGGTGGGTTACTGGGCCAGTGAGGTAGTGCGATGGATAAGGCTGCTGCATCTCACATGGCCAGCTCCATACTTTGAGTCCCAAGCCAGGTCATTTGAAAAATGTGCTGGAGGGACCAGCAGTTAGTGTAATGGCTATGTTGCTGAACTCCCATGTAGCCGACCGCGGTTCACGTCCTGGACCTGGTGGCTTAAACTCACGCCGGGCTCGTGTGCGTACGTGCCCAAGATCCCGAGAGGAGAATGGAGGAGAAGGGATTGCGGCGTGGCCATAAGACCACCCCCACCACCACCCCCCACCCCCGGTCTCTCTCTGTCTTTCTGGCGAGCACACGTGCCCTATAGCAAAAACCTCTCCAGAAAAAAACAAAAACAAAAAACATCCTCTGGGGCCGGCAGGTGGTGTGGTGGCTAAGGACGCTGGACTCCCACATGGCCGACCGCGGTTTGAGTCCTGGACCTGGCGGCTTGCTTGCTCTCTCTCTCTCACTCTGTCTCTCCCTGGTCAAATTAAAATAAATAAATAAATAAAATAATTTTAAAAAATGTGCTGGATCTGTGTGTACAGAAATCCCAAGGAATTGAAATGTGACCATCCCCCCAGGGTGGTTTCTCATTTTTTTCCTGTCTCCCTCCTCTTCCTCCTTCTCCCTCTGGTAAGAAAATGTGCCCTATAGAATAACTAAAAAAAAAAAAAGGTTGGGGGGACGGCTGGCAGGTGGTGTGGTGGTTAAGGATGTTGGACTCCCACATGTCTGACAGTGGTTTGAGTCTCAAATCTGGTGGCTTGGTCTCTCACCCTCTCTCTCTCTCTCTCACTCTGTCCCTCTCTGGTCAAATTAACAAGTAAACAAATAAATAAAGTTAAGTAAAAAATTATTCTTTAAGAAAAAAAGTTACTACTTTCAACTTCTCCAATTACCAAATAGAGTTGAGTATTTTTTTTTAAGGGTGTATATGCTAGAACAGAAAGAGACTGAGAAAGAAAGTGAGAAATCACCCTCCAGGGGGATGGCCATGCTGTGATCCCTTGTCCTCCATTCTCCTCTCAAGATTCTTTGGCATGCACACACATGTGCCCTGCATGATTTTCAAGCCACTAGGTCCAGGACTTGAACTGCTGTAGGTCATGTGGAAATCCAGTGTCTTAACCACCATGCCACCTGCTGACCTGCTATTAGCATTCTTTCCTAAATTTTAGCTTTTATTTATTTCCAAATGAGCTAATTTAGAAATATTTTTGTTACTGGGGGCTAGTGAATAGCACAATGGTTATGCCACTGGACTCTCACATGGTCAACCACTGTTTGAGTCCCGGACAGGTGGCTTGAAACTGGAGAGTATTAGCAGAACTAAGACAGAACAGGCTGATATGATGGCTCCTTGAGGAGGAGAATAGAGGAAACAAGATTGTGGCGTGGCCATCCCCCCAGGGGGGTGATTTCTTGCTTTTTGTGTTTCTGTCTCTGTCTTTTGGTCGCGTACATGTGCCCGATAGTGTGTGCTACAAAAAAAAAGAGAAAAGAAATACTTCTGTGATTAACTCCTTTTTCATTTATTTTGTTTTATACTATGGCCTGTGTATTTCTACCTTTTTAGATTTATTTATTTGTTTAACATTTATTTATTGTCATTTTCAAGCCACTGGATCTGGGACTTGAACCATGGTCTGACATGTGGGAATCCAACACCTTAACCACCAAGCCACCTGCTGGCCCCAAGAGATTTATTGATTGATTGTGTGTGTGTGTTACCTAAGAGAAGTCATTTTTGAAATGTTCTAGGACATTTGGAAAGAATGTGCATGCTCTATAATAGCATTGAATCAAGCTTATTAATAGTAATATGTTATTATTATACATCAATATATAAAATATAATAGTATTAAATTAAGCATATTGTCATTCAACAATCTCTTCTTATTTTAGGGGGCTTTCATTTCAAGCAACATACTGTAGTTAGCTTCAATAAGAGAAAAAAGAATTTATTGGGAAATGAGGAGAAACCTAACTGATCTGAAAAAATTAAAGGGCCAGCCCCATAATGTAGTAGTTAAGCACCATGTGGAATCCCAGCCCAGTGGCTTGAAAAAATATGCCAAGCACATCTACATGCATTGCCTCAAATCCTGATGGGATGGAGAAGTGGAGGATAAAGGATTGCAGCATGACCATGCCCTGTTGGGGATGCTTTCTCTCTCTCTCTCTCTCTAGCAAGTGCACATGCCTTCTGGCAATAAAAACGTTAGAGCTGGATCTTGAAACGGACAGCAAGAACAGAGCAAAGGGCTTTTGAGATGACAGTGACAAGGAGCCATAATGGCCT